TATATATATATATATATATATGTGTGTATATATATGTGTATATATATATATATATATATATATGTGTGTGTGCGTCTATATATATGTATATATGTATATATATATGTGTATATATGTGTATATATATGTGCATATATATATATATATGTGTGTGTATATATAGATAGATATAGATAGATAGATAAATATAGATATAAATAAATATATATTGTACTTTATCATTGCATTATAAGTATCTACAACTAATTTAAGCTGAAGAAATAGGTTTACAAATGCTTATTAAGCTTACAAGGTAGTAACTTTGTCTGAAATGTTTAATATAACAACTCTAAATGAAATATGTAAGTGAATAGATTTGGCTCACTATTTGGCAAGAAACTGGTCAATTTTGTCTCTCTTGTCACCCTTAATTAATGCATAATAAGCAGTTATTAATGATTTATAAAGTGTTTATACAGGATTTAATCTCCTGTTTGAAATCCTTCAAACAGCTATCCACAACAGGTAAGATATTCCTTAATTAAACCCAACTTAATAAAATTTGAACATATGCTTTAAGAGCTTAATTCAACTAAAGATTTTAAGTTTATTGTCAATTCACAGGAATTCTCATCTGGACTAAAGTACTCTTAGTGGCTTCCAACCAAAATGATTTCAATTATTTAGCCATCTCAAATTTATTTAGATTGTTGCGGTTATCTTTTTAACTGCCATCCAAAACAAGCATATTGATACTGGTATGAAGTTTGCTCAAATGTTTAAATTCATATCAAATTTTATTTTCCATCCTCCAGATCATCTTTTCCAGCATCCTAGAGTTTGGTGATGCAACTCATGTCGTGATACTGAGAGGAAAACAGGAGGCCTGGAGGCAAAATAGCAGGCTACATATATTTTAGCAGCAGTGTGGTAGTCATACTTGTGTCTGTGTTGTGACTGAAAAACTGAAAGAAACTGTGGAATAGCAGATTAAAAATCCAACACTAATCTCGGATTAGTAAACTATAGTTTCACTTGAGCTCTTAAAGCAATCTCAGCAATCTGTTACAGGAACAAAACATGCTCTGTTGTGTTTGTTTTTAAATTTATGTCTGAATGGTTTGATATATATATATATTTTTTGTATTAAAAAATAAATATGATGTCAACTTACCTGCTGATGAAGACAAGACAGAGACTCTGGATGCATCAGATTAGTGTCCTAAGAAAGCGGTCTTCATGTCCAAACCCAAAAATCCTTTAGCGTCCAAAAGTACTTCACTCTTAAATCATCGTTGAACCTTCACATGAATCATTTTCTTGCTGCTGAAATTTTTACTTTTAAGAAATAAATCAAATTTTACTTTTCAGTGTGTGAGTCACATCTCTCCTTTCTAGTTTCTCCAGTTCATCAGAATATTTTACTCCAAATTTCAACAACAGAAATGATATTTCACATCCTCACATTTTTCTACTTGCAACTGCCTTCTGACTTTTTTCTGTTCTTCTTTTCCTCATTTTAGCATCTTTAGATTCTCCTCTCCTCCCTCAGAGTTCATGCCTTCCCACTTATCTCTCTCAAATGCTGGAGCACCCCCTCTGTTTGGTCTGCAGACAGGAAGTCTCTGTGTTTACATTCTGTGAGGAGGCTCAACCCCCCCCCCCCCCCCCCCCACACACACAAGATGCTGCACATTTTCTGACATAAGTGTAAATTGTTTTAACCATTAGGAAACAGAAGGAACTTTCCCTGGGGGGTATGCTGGTGAAGATTTTTGTCTTGAACATTTCTGGATTTCCCTGAGGAGCAATATTTATA